CAATATCTTTGTGCTTGGTACTGCAGCTTTAGTATGAATGATTTAGTAAGAATCAAGGTTGCTTACTGCTTGAGACCATTTATCACTAAGACAAGCTTTGCGATCGTAGTGTTTATTTGTAAAGCCAGTCTTTAGGTAATTGCAGTCACACGGCCAAAGTTGTTTTCTACGACACAGATTGGCAGAAAGTTACGAACATAAACTTTTTTATTTTTTGCATATTGTTTCATGTCACGATTTGAAATGTGACCATGTGCTTATGCCAGATATGGCTAGCAGCGACCAAAACGAGTCGCAACTAACTGGTCCACCTGACGCAGAAAGAGAGCCGATTGTGCAGAAAATGCGAGTGTGGAAAGCAGCTTCCGAATGCCAACACTCAGCATAATGTCATGCTGAGTTCATAGCGTTTATTCTTCCTTGGGGTTGCTCTGTTTCACCATTCACGCAACGCTTTACGGTTTACCGAGCCTTCTCCATTTCACAAAGGCCACTAGAACAGTCGGGCGTTACAAGGAAGACAAAGAAAACTAAATCGCCTAAAAATAGCATGAGGACCCAAACTGGCGCCTGCGACAATATATCCTCATGATTTGTTGATGTGGAATGCCGCGCTTTCTGCCTACACCCCGATGCGCATGAGTAATGCTGCTAGGGGGCACACCGGATGGCTTGTAGAATTGTTGTATATGGTCCTTTCTAGTGCCAAAATTCATGACTTTATATGAAGTTACTAGCCAGGGCTGCTGGAAACACCTTTCTCTGACCCGACCTTTTTGATCAGTTGCAGGACTACCTGCGGGAGATGCTGGAGGGCCCGACTGCCCACCACGTAAGTTATTTATGGCCCGACCTTTGGGTACTCGGATGTTTATCGTACTAACAGAACCCATTCTTTAGTCAACCGGCGGAATCTTCCTGTACCTCCCATTGGGACTCCAATTGCAGACGGCAGCGCCAAATCTCCCCTAACGGGCGTTGGGTTTCTCCAAAAGGAATAAGAAAAAGACAAAACAATACGCGTGCTGTCGTCATGGCAACCGCTTGGTTATGGGGGAGGGTGTGAGAAGTGTTGTGCCTCCTCTACCTCTCTTTCACCCTCGGCGACAAAAGGATGCAAGTTCGTTCGGAGTTCGAAGCAGCCTCCGAACTCCAAACGAATTTGCATCCTATCTTGTTCTTCTACAAAACAATGTAATCTTTTGTAGAAAAAAAAAAAAAAAGTGTGCGTTTTTTGCGAATGTCTGACGCTTCCGAAACGATTGCACTTGACTTTGCGTCGTTCGATTGAGATCGGCTTGGCAGCAGTGCATGTTCAGTGACAGCCACTTCTCATTAAATCGTCAATCAATGGATGCAGAGTGCGCCCAGCCGGTGCTGTTTCGCGGCTTAAGATGTGCGCACATCGCCATTCTGAGCACAAGTCCAAACTTCTTTTGCAAGTTCTTTTTTTATTAGGCACGCTTTTTATACAGAAAAAAATTTTTACTGCACGGCACAACAAAGTAACAAAATCTACACAAAACTACTATTCAAGTATTCACAGACTTGCAATCACCCATTTAACTTTGCAGTAGTTAGCGACTGTGATTCGATCGCCACGGTCTCTCGCAGGTTCCTTCTGCAGCGCCAGCTGCTCCACGCACATGCTAGCGAGCTGCGGTGCTCTAACACCGATATTGCCTACACCGCTCATTTTAAGATAAATGCCCTGTCCCTTCTGACCTTCTACAATAACTCTACCATAATGAAACATGCAGCAGCAAGTTTTCGGCAATCCGAAACTGTATAATCAAAAGTATAGCAGCCCGTCTTTACCTTTCGTCATTCGGGAACCCAAAGGACTTGGCAGAGCTGTTGCCACTGGAATTAGAGCACCACTGAGTCGAGCAATAGACAAGGTTCCGTTTGCTCGGTGTACTGGTAGAAGAAATAGACCGATAACCAACAGGTCTATTTTAGACCTGTTGTATGCCTTCACCATCCTCGCCTTGTTCTTAAGAATGGTTATAAAGCGTGTGCATCTCAAAACGGCCCAAACTACTGTGGCGCAACGACAAGAACCCCTCCTGATCAGTGACGCAGATCAGGAACTCTACGCGAGATGACAGTGGCGCCTTTGGTAAGCGTGCCAAAGCTAAAAAAACAAAGTGCACAGACTAGAAAAAAAGGAAACAAAACAACAGACGTGTGCCATGTTCGTTTTTGCTGCTGGATAAGGATGCCAACTTGTGCCGCCTAGCAACTAAAAAGTAAACCTGGAAGACCAAATCGGCCGGGCAGGCAAGCGCGAGCGCTCTTATTATCGGATTATATTTTACAGCGGCGCTGTTAAGGGCTTGGTTCCCGAGGATCGTGTCCGGTACAAAACACTTGTCGACAAAAACGCCTCTGGACAGCTACTGCCATCTATAAGCGACGGCGGCAAGCACACAACCAGTCTGGTGGCCGCCGTCGCTGGTAGATGGCGGCAACCTTTCCAGCTATCATAGAAGAATGGATTGTTGGGCGGCGCGTTGGTGGGAATTCATCGTAGAAAACAGTGCGAAAACAGACGACGACAAAGAAGAAGCACACGTAACGAGCGCAGCGCTCGTCACATGTGTTTCTTTGTCCTCGTCTGTTTAGCACACTGTTTCCTACGCTCTTGTCAGTTTCGGTTTGGACTTACGATGGGTCAGCCGCGTGCCCTTTTGGGGAAAGAAGACTGGCTGCGGAAAGAGCGGCGACGTACGCAGCAGTGCGAATGGGTCCGTAACCACCGCAAAGCCGCTGTCGCCTCGACTTCACTACGTCGAGCGCTTCAGATTCCCTTGCCAAAGAAGAGCACATCGCTTGCCTGGAAAGCCGCCGCCGAGAACAAAACCAGCGATGTAAAGGGCGTGGGCAGGCCAACACCACGGATGACGATCGTGCCACGGAGGCCAAACGCAAGTGCGAGGCCCGGCGACGACTGCACTCCACGCCGGCAAAACAGTTGCCGGGCGCGACGGTGATGTTCCAGAGGGAGTCCGTGGATTACCCGTCTGGCGTCTCGTGCACCGTGTGCGACCTAAAGCTCCTTCATGTTTCGAAAGTAGCGCAAGGTGCATCGATACACGAGGCACGTGCAGCCCTTGGGAAGATCATGGTGGCACAGCGCAGCACTGAGTTAGATTTCAAACGCCATGAATTTCTCAGAAGTGGGTGCGGCACATGCCTCGAGCATTTCTGCAACAATGAATGGCGCCACTTTTCCCAGGATAGACAGGCTTTAGTGCAACCGACTCTGGGTCAACGGAGACGTATCCACGATCGGCGGCGTGTCGGACAAGAAGAATCGGGAAACGGGCGCGTGCGCGTTGCAGCAGTGTATCGAGTGCAGCTCCGCTGGTCTTCCCTCTTCACGAGAGTGGAAAGGCTGAACGTTTTTCATGAAAAGTTACGGAACCATGGAAATATTGCAAATTATACATATATATGTATATAATTATACAAATTTCAAACCAACCAAGATGAATTATCGGGGTTCTACTAGATGTTTTACTGCGTGTTCCACTAGTGAAGCTCTTGCAAAGAGTTTCTTCAAGCTCCTAGAGTATAGAAAAATCTGAATACTAACATGATCCTGTTTGCATTTGTATTAATGTTCAAATTCAAAAGCTTTACACTGTCATAACTTTAGTTAATGTGAAATTGTTTTTCAGTTGCTGAGGTGGACGGCCTTGCTAAGAACGAGATCGTGGATCACACCATCGGCCTCCAAAATGAGGAAGAAATGGTAAAATAAAAATTTTTTCGCAGTTCCATGCAATGTATGGTATACCGTATAATCGCGTGTCAGGGCCGCACCCCCATATTTAGAACAAAGCATTGCAAAAAAAAAAAAAATTACTGAAATTATTTGCGTATGCACCGCACCCCCTTGTTTTTGAGGCGTGCCGACTGTAATGCCACGTTTTCTATGAATTTGTATCGCTAGGTGGCACTAGCCTCTGCCGGAGCACATAGCAGCACGTGTCCGCATCTCTGATATCTGCTCTCCACTCATCCGTATCACCGTATGGCATAATGGCTGTCGACCTCGATCATGGTCGGCGGCACAAATGGGATGCGTTTGTGTTGCAGCAAGCCGTTGAGAAAAGATAAAGGATATGTCAGGTTCCGTGGCAAGCGCGAGGAATGGGGATTTAGCGGGCTCGGCTCGCGCGTGCACTAAGTTTTCGAACACCACTGTATGCTTTGCGGAGGTTTCCTTTTGTTTTTCGATTTGTGTCAAAGTGTCGCAATTTGTCTGCCTTTTCGCGCAATCTGAGAGCTATGGGCAAGTACCACTTCAACAGTCATACGGGATTGAAGTCAAAAGTTGCCGCGCATGCTATCAAGTACGGGAAAAAAAAAAAAAAGATGCGTATTGCGCAGTATGTAAACTAATTAAATCCGACTGACGATTGAGTTTGAATTCCGGAGTGAAGGCGTTTCTGACCAGTGCAGCCGAGTGTGCTCATGTACGTTCATTTCGGAATGTGGATACAGATATTTTTTTATTTTTTTTAATCCGTGTATGGGGCTGCACATAGAAAATTTGCCCTCAAACCGGGAAAAAATAGTGCGGCCCTTACACGAGTTAATGCGGTACATTAAAAGAACAGGGTGGTGTACGCACAGTAGATTGAATTGATTGCTACCATAAGCCTTTAAAACATTATTGTAGCCAGGCTCTTAATTGTAGTTATAGCCAGGGCCTGCAAATGTTTTATTGTCACGCTCACATGATGCAACTAGGGGTTACATACCTGTTTGATGCAAGTGACATGAAGCTTTGTGGGCTCATCAACTTTGCAGATGCCCATGTGGATGAGAATTTAAAGGTAGTACTGTTTTAAATTTAAAGGCCTAAATTTTATACCTGTAATTATTTAGTGCTTTTTAGATGCACCTTCTTGGAGAATACAGGACTACTTTGTGTCAACTCGACTGGTATGTGTAAAAATTTCTCGGTTTTGTTTATTGCAGATCCATGCTGGGCAAGGAGTCTACATCAATCAAGAATCCTGGATGGAGATGCAGAAAGCGGAGAGCGACTCTATGTTTTGTAAAATCACGGCCTCTTCCATTTGGCCAGTGGAAGTGCTTTTAGAGAAGTCAGTGACCGGCACCCTCTCAAACAAAGCAAAAGCAGCGGGGCAAGAAAAAGCATTTGCCCCACTTACTCCGCACAAGGTGCAGGCTCTCTCAGGTAAGCAAGCATTTTGTTTAAAATCTTGATACAATCCTCGCGGGGTCGCGTAAAATATTTCATGCTAAATTCGTATCAACAAAAGCGAAATGAAATTTATATTTTGAAGCACAAGGAATGCATTACCATGGATTTATTTATGGCAGAAAATATCTTGTATGTAATTTGCACGATTCTAACATGCCCCCGATAGTAACACACAGTTATATTCAACCCATGAATATTAAAAAAATTGGTGCCGATTCTACTGCGCAGATAAAATATGACGGCTGAACAACATACACCTCATAAAAAGCATGTTATCAAACTCACATACTCGAAAGTGCCCACACTGGGTGCTATTGAAGCCCTACATCGAACACTCTCGATATTCGGTTCCTTTGTCTTTCCAACCAAGCTCGCATGTCACCGTGGACCACACCGAAGACACGACCAACACCACTCGGTTTTCTCTTTTTGCCAGTGCGATCACTTTTTTTAGAGGTAACCTTAAAGTAAAATTGGTTTTTTTTTTAAGGTTGAACCACGATTCCACAAGATCGCAAAAACAAAACAGCGAATTTGGATTCAGATTGGATTTGATTTGAAGCATGTGTTGATGGTGATGGGGCTGGCCACTTCGCACAGTTCTTTTAGCATTTTGTTTAGTTTTAGTTTTTGTGTCCGATTGTAAAACGCATTTAATTTTGAGCTCACGTCTTTGAGTAAACAAAGTGCGGCTGATCCCTGGCAGCAGCCGGCAATCAGCTGCCCGGAGCCTTGGGAGCTTACAGTCACCGATTGTGGCCTCCTTACCATTATCAGATGCGGGGCATGCATTCATATCAGTGGTTGCAGCATGTCGAGGTATTTGGAATACCAGAAAATTTTCACGTTGTATGCATTGCGCTTTGACCGGGGAATTTGTGAATTCATTTCATTCTGAAATTCATACCAATTAGTATCACCGAGATTTTACTCTAGTAGGTTGTCCGCTAACACCCGGACGTGTGACCTGCCAAGAATGAAAGTCAAACATAACAGATAATAACCGTAAATAATAATTGCACATTTTTATTTTGAAAAGATGGTTTTATTTTTCGTTCTAAGCCGCAAACTCGAGCAAGCGCTCGAAGAGAAGTCAACGGAGTGTGCGATGCGTCGTGGGTTATCCGGCAAAGTTGCGGTTCGGTTGCATGGTGGTGTAAACATGCTACAGCCTAGCCATTTGAAACACCTTTGGGCTTTGCATGGACCAACGTGGACTAAGCCAACTAAGCGCCCACGTGTGAGATAAGTCATGTCTAGGTCATCGTGTTCAGGGCGAGATTACTCCAACAGTTGAGTTACCTCCAAAGAGCGGCGCTGCTCCGATGTGTAGTGCAGCTACGTAGCGGTTTCTGTTATGTCACCACTATGTCACAAGATCTCTAACCTTGCTAGATTACTTCCCAACGAAGCTTTGGGGGCATCCACCAGGTGCACATTGAAAGACTGTTTAACTAGCTTTAAATTTAGTTTTCTCGTGCCTTTCAACGAAAGATTGTTGTTTTCAAGGTGATACTGCAACTTAGCCCATATCCAAGCTAGCAAATGAGCTCTGGAATTCCGTTTCCGTGCCCCTTTAAGATTTACTCTAAGCTACATTCTGGACTTTGTGTAACTTCTTGTGCAAGCACATTTTTTCGAAAAGCACCAATTAATTCCTAGAGGAATTTAACTTCGGCATTATGAAAACTTGTTTGTTTTGCTTTATCTACTTATTTTTCTTAGTGGGGACACATGCATCAGATTAAAATTCAAAGCAGCATGTTGAACTAAAAGAGAAATGTGCAAAAATGCAGGAACAAACATTCCCTTGTTTTTAATAGCCTACGCTACGAAAGGTATTCACTTATATTGGCTATTAGTTTCAGGGAAGAAAAGCAACATAAACTGTTCCTCTTAGCATTTGCATTTAATTTTCTTATGGTCATAATCGACTTGCTGACATGTATATTCGTGGTGTGAAATGCACTTTTTATGATGTATGCCAACTGTAGGGGGTAAATGTTCTGAACTCATTTAAACCATCAGTTTCTCTTTTTTGTTCAAGTGACTCCGAACCTAAGGATTGCTTTGTTATGGAGATCTCAGATTGTTATATTGGTTAAGTAAAGAAATAATGATTTGGAGTCTTTTAGAAGGTTAAGCAAAAACAAGCAGCTATAATATCCTGAGGGTAACCTAACTTAAAATTTAAAGTTAGGTGAACATATAAGGTAGACTACCTCATAGAGTGCTACCAAAAAGGGTTATAAATATTGTAGCCAGGCCATGAATGGACGATCTTTTAAGGAATGTGAAAGATTGTTTTTATATAGAACTGCACTGGTTGTTTCTGCTGTTCATAATTCTATTTTTAAATTCTGTGGCCTGTCTAAGCTGTTACCACAGCGAGAGATGAGGACCAAATGTAAGCAGTTTTCAGTGTTCATTGTCTACTTATCTCCAGTTGCAGCTCCTGTTTCTTACAAAGTCACTGGCCTAGCAGTGAGATTTATAGACATGGGTTACCTGTTTTGTGCTTAAAAGAATCTAACGAAAGCCAGGGTGGGAGTGGAACATGCATCAGGATGCTGCGGTACTTTTGCTTTTATGGTAATCTCTGAACTGTCTAAATTCTAAGGTGCCAGCTGCCAGTTAACTGCTTCCATTGAGACTAATTTACACTTGGTCTTCTTAAACTATGACCCTCCAGCCTGTGTGTATGGTGTTCTACAATGTTTTAAAGGGATGCTGAACAAAAATCTGGATTCCGCAAAACACGGCGGCAAAAGCGTGCAACAGGATGCTACGAACACCAAAACATCACTCAGACAGAGATATCTCGAATGGATGACCGTATTTAAAAAAAAAAAGAGGCGCATTTGACAGATATGTTTACGTCTTGTTTTTCCAAGAAAGAGAGGGAATGGCCTCGCGTCTTCTCCGCCTCGCCGCTTTGAGGGGGCAAAGCGAAGAAAGGAGGAAACGAGATATCTTCACATCACGTGCCTCGTCGGCCTCATTCAATCTCAACCTCTTTTTCTAAAAATACGGCCATCCATTCGAAATGTTGCCTTACTAGTAGTGTTGTAGGGATTGTAGCGTCCCGCCTACAGCTCCTGCTCTGTATTCTGAAGTCCAAATTTTGGTTCAAAATTCCTTTAGGTCTGAGCACTGCAAAGAATTATTACCCTGGATTTTCCATATTCCAGGCTGCTTTTGGCTATACCTAAGGGAGAGGGGGTACCGCCAGGCTGAAAGGGCAGCCCGGCACCAGAAGATGCGCCGGTACCTGTCCGAAAAGCTGTCGGATCTGAGGAGAAATCGCTAAAAAGGTATGTGCTTGTATAGTATAACTTTCTTAATTAAGTAACATACTATTTTGGGTCTCAAGTTTACAAGCAATTATTTTAAATTATGGTATAGATAAATTATTTAGAGGTTAATATATCTCTAAATATTTATGCAAACAACTTTAAAGTAGTGTGTTGATCAGCTGACCACTTGAAAAGGCTGTGGGTTGCTTGATTGCTATTGCTACTCCGTCAGGCTGTGCTCAATTAATCCCCAAAACGTTGCATGGTAACACAATTACAATGAAGCATGTCACTCTTACTGTCCCTCTGTCGTCTCTCGGCCCACTCTTTTGTTGACGTATGTCAATAATCTTCCTGTGTTTGGTCTCATTGGTCACTAAATTGCCCTTGATATGTCCAGGCTCATCCCTTTGCCCTGTCCTGCCCCAACGTATGGTCCCGCCACGGACTGCTCATGCTGCTGCAGGTCTGCCATCGCTTGCACTCGATGCAGCCTTTTCACCGTTTTTTTATATTAATTTAGCTTAAGTTATATATTGGAAATACTGTTGAAATGGAACAAATGTATTATTGCAGCCAATACGAGCTGAAATGCCACTACGCGTGGCGCACGATACTATGAGAGTTGTCTCTCGGATTGTTCAGTAAACCTCAGCATGCGCTGAGGTGGAGACAAATCGCTTGCGCTCATTGCACCACTATGCCGTTCCGTGTCAAAATCTAGCTCATAGTGGTGCAATGAGTGCAATCAGCAATCTGCCTAAACCTCAGCAAACACTGAGGTTCGCTGAAAAATCTGACAGGTGGTGCTGATAGTACCCCATGCCACGCGTCATGGCATTTCAACTCATATTAGTCACGATGTTACTTCCTCAAATGTTGTGGTTTTTCTGTACCATATGCTCCCAGCAAAGCAATGTATAATGTCATAATTTCATAATAAACATATCAAAGCAACGCAGCTTGTTTGACTTTATTCTTATTAGTAGCTGCATTTGCCGTACTCATACATCAGGCTGGTGATTACTAGTGTGCAGTGGACAATATAATTCAATTCTAAGTGGGACATGCATTTCGTCACGCTCCAAACATGGCGTAATTAAATTTCCACATTATGCATTCACATATTGTCGTGCTTTGCACTCAACCATTTGTTTAAGTGGTGGCCAACTCGAACTTCAATGTTTCAAATTAGCCATCAAACCACCATAATCCAATTATTAAAAATGGACGTCCCAAAATACGACAGGTTATTCGACCATCAGACCATCAGACCATCAAACCATCACACCATCAAACCATCAAACCATCAAACCATCAAACCATCACACCATCAAACCATCAAACCATCAAACCATCAAACCATCAAACCATCAAACCATCAAACCATCAGACCATCAGACCATCAAACCATCAAACCATCAGACCATTAGCCGTCCCAAAATACGACTCCATCAGACCATCAGACCATCAGGATTTTCCTGATGGTCTTTTCGATAGGGGTCTCTCGTCAGGCCGTGCTCTCTCCAATAATTCGCTTTAAAGAGGCAATAGCCGAGATCGTGGTCACGGTGAACGAATAAAACGGCGCCAAACGTCTCTCGTCAGGCCGTGCTCTCTCCAATAATTCGCTTTCACCGAGGCAATAGCCGAGATCGTGGTCACGGTGAACGAATAAGACCGCGCCGAACGTCTCTCGTCAGGCCGTGCTCTCTCCAATAATTCGCTTTCACCGAGGCAATAGCCGAGATCGTGGTCACGGTGAACGAATAAAACGGCGCCAAACGTCTCTCGTCAGGCCGTGCTCTCTCCAATAATTCGCTTTCACCGAGGCAATAGCCGAGATCGTGGTCACGGTGAACGAATAAAACCGCGCCAAACGTCTCTCGTCAGGCCGTGCTCTCTCCAATAATTCGCTTTCACCGAGGCAATAGCCGAGATCGTGGTCACGGTGAACGAATAAAACGGCGCCGAACGTCTCTCGTCAGGCCGTGCTCTCTCCAATAATTCGCTTTCACCGAGGCAACAGCCGAGATCGTGGTCACGGTGAACGAATAAAACGGCGCCGAACGTCTCTCGTCAGGCCGTGCTCTCTCCAATAATTCGCTTTCACCGAGGCAATAGCCGAGATCGTGGTCACGGTGAACGAATAAACCCGCACCGAACGTCTCTCGTCAGGCCGTGCCCTCTCCAATAATTCGCTTTCACCGAGGCAATAGGCGAGATCGTGGTCACGGTGAATGAATAAAACCGCGCCAAACGTCTCTCGTCAGGCCGTGCTCTCTCCAATAATTCGCTTTCACCGAGGCAATAGCCGAGATCGTGGTCACGGTGAACGAATAAAACCGCGCCGAACGTCTCTCGTCAGGCCGTGCTCTCTCCAATAATTCGCTTTCACCGAGGCAATAGCCGAGATCGTGGTCACGGTGAACGAATAAAACGGCGCCAAACGTCTCTCATCAGGCCGTGCTCTCTCCAATAATTCGCTTTCACCGAGGCAATAGCCGAGATCGTGGTCACGGTGAACGAATAAAACCGCGCCAAACCTCTCTCGTCAGGCCGTGCTCTCTCCAATAATTCGCTTTCACCGAGGCAATAGCCGAGATCGTGGTCACGGTGAACGAATAAAACCGCGCCGAACGTCTCTCGTCAGGCCGTGCTCTCTCCAATAATTCGCTTTCACCGAGGCAATAGCCGAGATCGTGGTCACGGTGAACGAATAAAAGCGCGCCGAACGTCTCTCGTCAGGCCGTGCTCTCTCCAATAATTCGCTTTCACCGAGGCAATAGCCGAGATCGTGGTCACGGTGAACGAATAAAACCGCGCCAAACGTCTCTCGTCAGGCCGTGCTCTCTCCAATAATTCGCTTTCACCGAGGCAATAGCCGAGATCGTGGTCACGGTGAACGAATAAAACGGCGCCAAACGTCTCTCGTCAGGCCGTGCTCTCTCCAATAATTCGCTTTCACCGAGGCAATAGCCGAGATCGTGGTCACGGTGAACGAATAAAACCGCGCCAAACGTCTCTCGTCAGGCCGTGCTCTCTCCAATAATTCGCTTTCACCGAGGCAATAGCCGAGATCGTGGTCACGGTGAACGAATAAAACCGCGCCGAACGTCTCTCGTCAGGCCGTGCTCTCTCCAATAATTCGCTTTCACCGAGGCAATAGCCGAGATCGTGGTCACGGTGAACGAATAAAACGGCGCCAAACGTCTCTCGTCAGGCCGTGCTCTCTCCAATAATTCGCTTTCACCGAGGCAATAGCCGAGATCGTGGTCACGGTGAACAAATAAAACCGCGCCAAACGTCTCTCGTCAGGCCGTGCTCTCTCCAATAATTCGCTTTCACCGAGGCAATAGCCGAGATCGTGGTCACGGTGAACGAATAAAACCGCGCCGAACGTCTCTCGTCAGGCCGTGCTCTCTCCAATAATTCGCTTTCACCGAGGCAATAGCCGAGATCGTGGTCACGGTGAACGAATAAAACCGCGCCGAACGTCTCTCGTCAGGCCGTGCTCTCTCCAATAATTCGCTTTCGCCGAGGCAATAGCCGAGATCGTGGTCACGGTGAACGAATAAAACCGCGCCAAACGTCTCTCGTCAGGCCGTGCTCTCTCCAATAATTCGCTTTCACCGAGGCAATAGCCGAGATCGTGGTCACGGTGAACGAATAAAACCGCGCCAAACGTCTCTCGTCAGGCCGTGCTCTCTCCAATAATTCGCTTTCACCGAGGCAATAGCCGAGATCGTGGTCACGGTGAACGAATAAAACCGCGCCAAACGTCTCTCGTCAGGCCGTGCTCTCTCCAATAATTCGCTTTCACCGAGGCAATAGCCGAGATCGTGGTCACGGTGAACGAATAAAACCGCGCCGAACGTCTCTCGTCAGGCCGTGCTCTCTCCAATAATTCGCTTTCACCGAGGCAATAGCCGAGATCGTGGTCACGGTGAACGAATAAAACCGCGCCGAACGTCTCTCGTCAGGCCGTGCTCTCTCCAATAATTCGCCTTCACCGAGGCAATAGCCGAGATCGTGGTCACGGTGAACGAATAAAACCGCGCCGAACGTCTCTCGTCAGGCCGTGCTCTCTCCAATAATTCGCTTTCACCGAGGCAATAGCCGAGATCGTGGTCACGGTGAACGAATATAACCGCGCCAAACGTCTCTCGTCAGGCCGTGCTCTCTCCAATAATTCGCTTTCACCGAGGCAATAGCCGAGATCGTGGTCACGGTGAACGAATAAAACCGCGCCAAACGTCTCTCGTCAGGCCGTGCTCTCTCCAATAATTCGCTTTCACCGAGGCAATAGCCGAGATCGTGGTCACGGTGAACGAATAAAACCGCGCCAAACGTCTCTCGTCAGGCCGTGCTCTCTCCAATAATTCGCTTTCACCGAGGCAATAGCCGAGATCGTGGTCACGGTGAACGAATAAAACCGCGCCGAACGTCTCTCGTCAGGCCGTGCTCTCTCCAATAATTCGCTTTCACCGAGGCAATAGCCGAGATCGTGGTCACGGTGAACGAATAAAACCGCGCCGAACGTCTCTCGTCAGGCCGTGCTCTCTCCAATAATTCGCTTTCACCGAGGCAATAGCCGAGATCGTGGTCACGGTGAACGAATAAAACCGCGCCGAACGTCTCTCGTCAGGCCGTGCTCTCTCCAATAATTCGCTTTCACCGAGGCAATAGCCGAGATCGTGGTCACGGTGAACGAATAAAACCGCGCCAAACGTCTCTCGTCAGGCCGTGCTCTCTCCAATAATTCGCTTTCACCGAGGCAATAGCCGAGATCGTGGTCACGGTGAACGAATAAAACCGCGCCGAACGTCTCTCGTCAGGCCGTGCTCTCTCCAATAATTCGCTTTCACCGAGGCAATAGCCGAGATCGTGGTCACGGTGAACGAATAAAACCGCGCCAAACGTCTCTCGTCAGGCCGTGCTCTCTCCAATAATTCGCTTTCACCGAGGCAATAGCCGAGATCGTGGTCACGGTGAACGAATAAAACCGCGCCGAACGTCTGTCGTCAGGCCGTGCTCTCTCCAATAATTCGCTTTCACCGAGGCAATAGCCGAGATCGTGGTCACGGTGAACGAATAAAACCGCGCCAAACGTCTCTCGTCAGGCCGTGCTCTCTCCAATAATTCGCTTTCACCGAGGCAATAGCCGAGATCGTGGTCACGGTGAAGGAATAAAACCGCGCCAAACGTCTCTCGTCAGGCCGTGCTCTCTCCAATAATTCGCTTTCACCGAGGCAATAGCCGAGATCGTGGTCACGGTGAACGAATAAAACCGCGCCAAACGTCTCTCGTCAGGCCGTGCTCTCTCCAATAATTCGCTTTCACCGAGGCAATAGCCGAGATCGTGGTCACGGTGAACGAATAAAACCGCGCCGAACGTCTCTCGTCAGGCCGTGCTCTCTCCAATAATTCGCTTTCACCGAGGCAATAGCCGAGATCGTGGTCACGGTGAACGAATAAAACCGCGCCGAACGTCTCTCGTCAGGCCGTGCTCTCTCCAATAATTCGCTTTCACCGAGGCAATAGCCAAGATCGTGGTCACGGTGAACGAATAAAACCGCGCCAAACGTCTCTCGTTAGGCCGTGCTCTCTCCAATAATTCGCTTTCACCGAGGCAATAGCCGAGATCGTGGTCACGGTGAACGAATAAAACCGCGCCAAACGTCTCTCGTCAGGCCGTGCTCTCTCCAATAATTCGCTTTCACCGAGGCAATAGCCGAGATCGTGGTCACGGTGAACGAATAAAACCGCGCCAAACGTCTCTCGTCAGGCCGTGCTCTCTCCAATAATTCGCTTTCACCGAGGCAATAGCCGAGATCGTGGTCGCGGTGAACGAATAAAACCGCGCCAAACGTCTCTCGTCAGGCCGTGCTCTCTCCTATAATTCGCTTTCACCGAGGCAATAGCCGAGATCGTGGTCA